TTCTTCTAGATTTTTTTTTTTTTTTTGTATCAGGGATTGAATTCGGATCCTTGTGCTTGCAAGGCAGGTGACGGAACCACTGAGCTAAATCCCCAGCCCCCATTATTCTTGATATTTAGGTTTTTTGTTCATCAGTGCTTTATCCCTCTAGCTGCTTTCTAGAACTGTTGCTTCCATGTTTTTTCTATTTTATTTTCCTTAAAATACAAGCCTTCTTTATATATTACAAAGATTAGGCCTTTGTGATTAGACTTGTGCCACAAAGAAAATCAAATGTGCTATCCACTTATTTTATGGCTTCTAGATTTTATTAATAAAAGCATACATACTCATGGCTTTTTGTCTAGACCTTTCATGATTTGTTTTCCATTTGAACTTTTTTTTTTTTTTTTTTTTTTTTTTGGTGCCAGGGATTGAACTCAGGTCCTTGCGCTTGCAAGGCAGGCAGTGGAACCACTGAGCTAAATCCCCTGCCCTTCATTTGAACTTCTGATATGTTTGGCATTTTCCTATTTGTCTGTTTGATGCCGTATTAATCCCACTTTGACTTTCACCTTCCTCACCCCATGTCTTCATCTTACTGTTGCTCAGATCCATGTTATTTCCCCTGCAGAGCCTCATCCACGTCAGTGCTTGCTTTGATTTTATAAATCAGTTTGCTTTGAGCTCAATGTTAGTGGACTCATTTTTATTTATGAAAATCCCAAAGATCCTAAATTTCGAATTTTCATTTGCTTCTCCCATGTTCTTAGAACCTCGTCAGAGAGACAAGGCAGTGCCTCTGTTCCCCTCAGTGGAGATACCTCTTGCGCTCCCTTGGCAGGCTGCAGCCCTCTGCCCTCATGTCCTGGTTCGCCTCCTTTCCTCATGGCCACCCAGAGTCTTGTGTGCATGCTGGAGCTCATGCCTGGCTCCTGGAAGAAGGCCCTCCAAAGGCTCCCAACAAGGCTCAGTTTATATCTTTACCTCTGTTTTAGGTTCCTCTTCCTTCCTGGTGCCTGGTGATTTCCTTTTTTCCTCCTAGTCACATTTATAGATTTTAAAGGATTATTTTAAATTTCATCTAGTTTGGAACAGGAGCCCTTTAAAGTTATTGCTGGAGTCCGCAATATATTTTATACTCAACGAATAACTTATTCCCACAACGGGCCATTCTTACAAGACCTTCGTATAAGTGTGGGCTTTTGTGATTTCCGTTTAGATTTGTTTAAGACATGGTCTCACTATGTAGCCCAGGCTAGTGCCTCAATTTCCCTACTACGGTCATGCAGCACATGTTTTTATGGTCTTCGTTTTCCTGTGAAATGATCCGCTTTTCCTTCCACCTTCGAGCCTCTTCCCAGATCATCACTACTACCCTTTAAATTTCAGATTAGTTTACAGAACAGTTTCAGCCTCCCCTGCAGTCGTGTTCTCGTTCCGCTATAGTCTCACAGTAGCCCACCCAAGCACAACACCCTGCATAGTAGCCAGTGTGCTTCTGAGCTGAGCTGAGCTCACTGAAGCGATAGATTCTGTCACTGATCTTATGTCTTGATGCCTGGCATGGTGTCGGCTACACAGGTTTATTTGTGTGGGTGATCATTTGTTTGGGTGGTTGACACGAGCATTTGTCTGCTCTCTTCTTACAAATTGCCCTAAAACAAGATTAATTTCTCAGAATGCCTTCTGCCTGAGTTACCATAGCAAAAACACATTATAACTGCAGAATCCTAAGCCTCATAGTTTATGCCTCGCTAGTGGTTTGTTTGTTGTTGTGGTTTTGTTTCTGTAGTGAAGGTCTGCTTCTGAACCACAGGGGAAGCTGCCACGTAACCCTGGTCATTTGAGTTGATGTTCATTTTGGTTTGTTTCTTGCTGTGTGGCGTACTTTTAGTTGATAGAGCTCAATATTCCTTTAATAATGGGTACAGTATGCCCCCCATAATAATGAAATGGTTTTACTAGTTATAATAAGTTCATAACAAAGATTTGGAGGTTAGGAAAATACCATTTTCTTAATTTAACATACAGTGCATCAAAGCCGTCCTCATAATAGTTCCCCCAAAGCAAAACTGACATCAAGCCAGGAAATTGATTCATGGGCTGATATTATTTCACAGGCCCAAAAATGGAGAAGTGGGTACTGAGCTGATGAGTCATAGCAAACAACTTGCATGGCAGGAGGAATCTGCAGGATTTCTCATTGGGATTGTGTAAAATGCAAACCTTGCCTGGCATATGGTGACACTTCTTGTAGTGATTGTGTGATGAGAGGTTTCTTATGTTTGCCAAGTTCTAGCAAGGTATCTTATCTTTCCAGAAACTTTAACCCAGGTGAGAAGCAGTACTAGGCATGTCTAGCTTTATACACCCTTCTCAGGACATGACAGCTCTGTTATAGATAAAAAGACCAATTATTATTAATGACAAAACAGTGCAAGTGTGTGGCTGTCTCAGTGAGAAAACCAAGAAGAGCGAAGATAGAAATTTCAAGGAAACGATTATCTGTGTCTCTGCTCCAGCATGCTTGCCCTCACTCCCTGGCACAGTGGCACAGAGTGGTGACCTTGGCTCTGGTCACTTGGTGCTGGGCCCGTTTCCACTCAGCTGCTCTTGACAGTACCTCAGAGCAGAGTGAGCAGGTCAGGGTGTTCTCTCCTTGAGGCCAGCAGCTGCTGGATGCCCACCTGTGTTCCACAGTAGAAGGTCAGAATCTCAAAGATTTGTGTGTTCTTTTCATCTCGCCTTCACGTGTTGTCAGCTCTATCATACACACAAAACAAGTACCACACTGACATTTAAAGAAAACTGAGCATTTCCAAACTTCTTTCACCCTTTTATCCCTGTGCTTCTTGGAGTATGTACGAAGAAGCACTCCACCTTCGAGCTAGCCCTTTGGGAGGGGCCTGGGGCTCTGTGGGAGCTGCTGGCCTCTTCCTTTGGGCTGTTAGCACATAACATTTTGGTCATGCTGCGTGGCCAGGGAAGTCTCCTGCTTGGATCTTTGACTTGAAATTCTAATGTACAGCGGGAGCTGGAAGTGGTGCCTTCATCGGAGCCCTTCCTTCCCAGGCCCTTCTCTGTCTACGCATACGCAGCCTCCCCTCAGATTCAAGTCTGTTTTGCGGGGAAGGGGGTGGATACCAGGGATCTAATTCAGGACCTTGCGCTTCAGGCCTGGTGCCATTGAGCTAAATCCCCAGTCCCCAATTCTGTTTTATTTGGACAGGTGACTCTTTTGCACATGGGACTTGGAGGAGCTATCCTGTGAAAGAAGTCATAATATGGTTTGATCTTTCAGGGAAAATAACATAAAGAATATCTTTCTGAGAGCATAGACTGTGCTTTTATTTTGTACCTGTTAATTTGTGTGTGTGTGTCCACATTACAGGGAAAGGTGTGGCTGATTGACTTTAATCCATTTGGTGAAGTCACAGATTCACTACTGTTTACTTGGGAAGAACTGATATCCGAGAAAAACTTAAAAGGTGATTTTAATGAAGGAGACGCTCAGGAGCAGGTAAGACATTTTTTAAAAGACATAAAGAAACCTTACTAACCAGTGAAAATGGCTTGTTTGCTTGTTGCACACGGAGTGGCAATGAGCCAGACCCCTGCGGTGGGGGCGTGTGACACAGGTGCCCACGGGGTGAGGAAAGGGAGTGCACACAGGATTCCTGTGTTGGACGTTTAAAAATCTATAAGAGATCAGAAAAGAAAGGATTCTGTGACTCACTATTTCTAGTTCTTTCCCGTAGCTTCTGACCTGGCCACCTCGAGCCTGGATCCATTCGCGCTCTGTTCGCTCGGAACTGAGCCGGTGCGCAGAAGGGCTGTGTGCGCCTGCGCGGGCGGGGTCCGGGTTCCGGTTTCCGGTTTCGTGGCGCGGCGCTGCAGCTTTCTCTTCCGTTGTCCACGTGCCCGGTGTGCCCAGTGCCCACCTTCTCCACCCTCCTCAGGCATCCCCCCCGGTCACTCCTCCCCTTCCTCTCGGCAGAGCCTCACTGCCCTCGGGAAGGAGAATCCGCGGCTGGGAAGTCAGGCGGCTGAGTCCTCAGCTGCGCACTCGGCCGCCCCTCTAGCCTGCGGCTGCCGCCTCATTCGCGGGTCCGCGCCTCTCAGACAGCTCTTGCCGTTTCCTCGTGCTCTTCCTTTTTACCATCAAGATTCAGCCCTGGTCAGATACAGCCCATCTTTAAAAAAGAATTTTCTTCAACCGAATTTTTTTACATAGCTATTCCTCTCCTTTACAGCCAACTTTTCTTTCTGGGGGTGGGGGTACCAGGAATCGAACTCAGGACCTCGTGCTTTCGAGGTTGTCTGCACCACAGAGCTAAATCCCCAGTCCAGCTAACTTTAATTTAAAGAAAAATTTGGGGTTTTTTTTTTTTTTTTTTTTTTTTTTTTTTTTTTTTTTTTTTTTTTTTTTTTTTTTTTTCCTACTCATACAGGTAGTACATTCTTGTTTGCAGCATTTAGGGTTTGTTTAGTTTTTGCAGTATAGCGCCTTCACACTTAGCTGTATCCCCAGCCCTTTTTCATTTTGAGGTAAGGCATTGCCAAATTGCCTGGGCAAGGCTCCAACTTGCAATTCTCCTGCCTCAGCCTCTCTGAGGGCTGGGATTACAGGCATGTACCAGCATACCTGGCCTAATACTTGCTTATAACCCTAGGAGCTGAGAACCACTGTTTCTATTTTTATATATAACATGCATGTACACGTACATGTAAACCTTTTTAAATACATGAGATTATACAATTATATTTCCTTATTTCTGGTGCTGGAATTGAACGTTGGGTCTCAGCTGCACTTGGCAAATGCTCTGAGCTACATACACCCCGGTCCAAGCTTTTTACATCTTTTAAAAACTAGCTTACATAATCATTTAAGGAAAAAAAGGGAGAATTAGAAAGAGACAGGACTTGAAATCCTACCACCTAGAAAGAGCCCTGGTCGCCCCTGCAGGCCCTTTGCATGCACTTTTACATAATGGAGCCCTCACAAAACTTGCTGTTTCAACCTGCTCAGTCCTGTTGTCACCATAGCGGGCTTCTGTGGGTGGTGCCTCTCCTTGCTGTCTGCTGCCTCCCACCTGCTCACCTCCACACACTGCCCTTCGCTCGGCCCTGAGCACCTATGCCTCAGGCACAGCCCTTCCCTCACCAGGCTGCGTGCAGTGCTTGCACACAGCGCCTCTTCCTTATTCTCACCTCTTTTTCCCTTGGCTGCTCCTGCATCTCTCTGCTTTCCTGCTGCTGCTTGGCCTTCCTCGGAGCATCTTCCCTTTGCCCATCTGTGCGGAATTCCCTCTCATCGTTTCTCTGTCCTTGGCCCCTTTTCCAGCCGGAATCGGTTCTGTGTCACCCGTATGGCACTTAAGTTGCCTACTGACACTCGCATCCCACGTTAGCCAGAGGCTCTGAGGACAGGGACAGAGCCTCTCCTATGCACAGTGCACCTGCAGAGTCTAGCACAGTATCAGGCTCTCTCAGTGTTTGTCACATTAAAAAGCATTTTCTCCCCACTGGTGTCTTAGAATAGTGAGTCGTCAACCCTCAAGGGCAGGGACGGCAGGTGTAAGCTGTTCAGTGCAGCTGTTCTTTTTAAACATGAGGGACATGGCACTTGGATGTAAATAGTTTGTACAAGGTTATATCTGTGACCAAATCCTTATTTACTCATTTATTCTAAATATTAGAGGTTTGGGTTTGATAGAAGAAGGAACCGATTCCTGGCTGCTTCCCTGGCACTCCTCCTGTTCCTCTCCCCAGGCTCAGGCCATGGGACCCCCCGCCCGACACAGCTCAGCTTGGCCTCTAGGACTTGGCGCCAGTCACCATCTCGATGCACTGCTCCCAGGCCACACACCTGCTTTTGTCATCTGTCCACTTCTAGCCCAGGGATCCCCTTCTTAGCAAGACCTTGTAGGACCAGCCCACTAATCTAGTCCCCGTTGTTGTCCTATTAGTGTACTGTCTACCCCGGTGCTGTTTCCTGAAACGTTGTAGGACCTGCAGGGTCTTGGTGATTTGTTTGCTTGTTTATTGACTATCTCTGAGTCTTACTTGCCGGTTTATGTCCCACACCCGGAAAGAGGTCTGGCGCAGAGCAGCTATGTGGCCGGCGTCCTTTAGGGCTCCTCAGTCCTCCATTCAGGTCCTCGACTAGTCTTCCTTGCTGGACCCCAGCAGTCCTCTCCTCCGCATGCATCTGCCACCCAGGAAGTCCAAGCCCAGGGCTTCTGTGTCTCTGAAATCCTTTTTTGGCAAAAGGCAACAAGCAATAATTGTGTGTAAGACTCAAAGCAAGTACGTGGAAGAATGAATACGAAGACTTGTTAAATGTGAATATTGAACTTGCAGTTGTCTGTAGGTGTGAGAGAGATAAACAGTGACCTAAGTACAGAAGAGTCAGAGGATTCGGAGCACCCATTAGCCCTCGCTGATCAGTATTCTCCGTGACTACTTCTCAGTCGTACATGTGTAGGAAACATAATGTTGATAAAATGTCCTGGCTTCTGAGATTGCTGGAGGCCTAGGCGACTGCCTGAGGCCTGGGCCCGCTGTGACTGGCGAGCCCCATAACCACGCATGGTGGCACTGGTCCTCCATGAGACACTTAACCGTGTCTTCTTGTTTCCTAGTGAATACATAGAATCATTTAAAAATATTAGGGCCCTCTTTTACTTTAGAGTCTTATTTTCTTCCTTTTCTAGTGCAGAAAAGAACATGGTATTGAGTATAGTCTGAAGAGCAGACCTAAAGGAGACTAAAGACTGTGCTGTTTTCCCTTTGTAAAGGACTCCCCAGCATTCCGCTGCACAAACAGTGAAGTTACGGTCCAGCCCAGCCCCTACCTGAGCTACCGGCTGCCCAAGGACTTCGTGGACCTGTCCACCGGGGAGGATGCCCACAAGCTCATTGATTTTCTCAAGCTGGTAGATATATTGTATTTAGAGAGCTGCTCATCTTTGACGGTTTTCAAGTGGGCTTTTTAATATTTCACTTTAGTCCTATGCTGCTCAGACTTATTTGATGATAATTAAAAGTCAGAGTTACGTGACTTGGGTCATTTTATAATACAACATGGAATGGGAACTGAGGGAGTAATTGATCAGAGTGATAGAAAATGTATATGCTTATGAAGTACATGCTTTGTAAAATGTTTTCTTCATACTGACTTTAAAGAAAGTCTGGACATTGTCATAGGGCCATGAGCGCAGATGTCTTGTGACTCGTGGAAGCAGGAACGTTTGTATTTCTCCGCATGTGTCTGTGTGGCCGTGTGTGTACCTGTGACTAAACGGGAAGGAAACCCTGGAATCCTTGAAAGCATTTTGCCCCTGAGTCAAAGTGGCGTACAGGCTTAATGAGTTGGTTAGGTCATGTCTTCCCATGGTTGTTTTGAGCACCTGTTTCGGGACCTCTGGGTTACTACCCTCGTTGACAGAATCCAGGATCTTGGTGAAGCAGATGTCCCGACTAGCATGTGCCGTTTCAATATACTCTTTTTTCTTTGACAGATCAGAATCCAGGATCTTGGTGAAGCAGATGTCCCAACTAGCATGTGCCGTTTCAATATACTCTTGGTTTCCTTTGACAGAAAAGAAATCAGCAAGAGGATGACTGAACAGAGCACTAGAGTTCAAGAGCAATAAAAGAGGCGACCGTGGCTACTTCGGAGGCCGCTCCTGGCCACAGCTTCAGTGGCCATAGCTGGGGGCGTGAGGGCAGTGTGGAAATCTGTAGCTTTTTATAATCACGCATAGGCACCTGGAGAAAGTGGAGGGACTTTGCTACTTGTACAAATTGCATAATAAATAGATCTTGAACATAGGACACCCTACTGTTCTGATAATAAAATAACTTTCTATGAAATACCTCACTCTCCTGGCTCAATTGATTAAGACTTATGTATATATTTCTTGTGCTGATGTTTTTATAACTATCATATTGGAAAATGTGTATTTGTGATATGAAAATAGTCTTTCCTAGTCATTATTTTTCCTTTTTAAAACATGAACCTTAGGGCAGCTGCGGTGGTACACCCCCGTAAACCTAACACTGTGGGAGGCTGAAGCAGGAGGATTACAAGTTCAAGCCAGCCTGGGCAACTTAGTAAGACTTAGGAAGAATCAGGGTAAGGGATGTAGCTTAATAGAAAAGTCCTAAGTTCAAACTTCAGTACCACAAAAAGAAAAATAACATCATCTTACAATAGGAAATATTTTTTTACTTTAGGAATTTCCATATGATTTTCTTTTCAGTTCAGCTTCCATTTGGGCATAGCTACAAAAATAGAGACTTTCCACCCTATTAAACGATGGATTTTTTTAGTACATTACACCTTCCTTAGTAATATATATTAATAAGGTAGCAAAGATTATGATTTTTAAAATATGTTGTAGTGTAGGGGGCTGCTGAGTCTCATTGTTGGAAGAGCTTCCGTGTTAGTGACGCTCTGCGTGGTGCCCTCTGAGCGGGTGAGGGCCATGTGGTGGCGAGGTCTCACATCCACGTGTGGCCCTCCGCATCCCAGGTGCGTGTGATGCTGTCGGGAACGTGGCACATGCTGCAGGGTCCTTTCTCAGCGTGCAAAAACATGCTGCCTGTGGGTGCTCCAGGGAAGAGCCGTCTCCCCTCGGTACATTCAAGACAAACTAGACAGTGATGCAAGCCAGGACACGGTGGCTTTTGCGTCTTCTCAGACTGAAGTTTTTATGCTCAGTACTTTATCTGTGGACTCAGGAAATCAAATGCCTTTTTTTACTTGGTACGGGGAACTGGACTCAGGACCTTGAGCTTGCCAGGCAGGTGCGGTGCCACTGAGCTACGCCCCCGCCCCTCAAATGCTTTTTGTAGACCAGCTGTTCGAAATAGATATGCTTTGAAATACTTGTTTTGTTTTTATGAACTACTCAAGGGTGTCGATTAGCCCAATAGAAGGGGTTCATATCGTGAGTGGGTTGAAGTTTAGCTCTGGAAGCTGGCTTTGTCAAGATATTACTTTACCAGTTTAAAAAAATGCAAATGTATTTGATATCAGTGGAAAACATTCAGATCATACAGAATAAGAAGACCCAAGCAAAAGTTGACAGGTAATGAATAGTTCAGTTCTTGATACACAACTCATTAAATTTTTATGTTAATTTTTCTGAAATTACAAGATTCAGCTCCACTTTTTAAGATGAGATTTTGGTACATGATTTCCTTATATATTTTATTTGATTATCCTGCTTTTAACCCTAGAAATAGAATAATGTATAGTCAATAGGCTCCTGGATGCCAGTATCATTTTGCCTACCTAAAGATTGGTTTGGATTATTCTTTTGTTTATTGGCATGTTTATTCTGAAACCCTTCTTTCGTGGATGCAGGTGGGTGGCGGCCTGGGCTGTGGGGTGAGCACACGTGTTCTGTGTCGTGGCAGTGGCAGTGGCTTCCTGAAGACAGATCTCGCCAGATGTTCTGTTGTTTAAAAGCCTCACTTTTATTTGCATGTTTTGAATTCATAAATTTTTCTACTCAACTCTGATTCTTTGGTGGCAGAAGATTATATCCACTAACCTTACAGGTGTGAGTTTTCCTTACCTAAAAGGAGGGAGGTAGGAATTGAAGGGTAGGGCCTTTTGAGTGAGGTGTCGTGGGCAAGGCTCGCGATATAGCGGTCAGTGATGAGCGTCCATCAAACAGGAGCTGACATCGTCATTCTGCTTCGCACGCCTAGGGCAGGTTCTTTTCAAAACAACCAGGACATTTTCTAGCGGTGAGGACCTCGGAGGTCTCCGGCCATTCCCTCCCTCCCGCCGTCCCTCCCTCTTCCTCCTCTGCTTCCTTCTTTTTTAAACAGATGAGAAAACTGTGACCCGGAGTTAAGATGTCTCCAAACCCTTGATTGTAGTGCAGTCCAGGCCAAATGAGGTCTGATGTTTTTCTCTAAGGATTTCTAGTCTTAACTTTTTTCCAATAGACAAGTTTCAACCAAGATCCGTTATTACTTTAATTACAGAGTTTTCCAAAAATCGGTTTTAAAATAAATACAAATTCATTACATCCGTGTGTGAAGGAAGCAAAGATGGATGTGTTGAATGCAGAGAAAGTAAGCGAAGTAGCTGTCTTTGGAAGAGCAAAGCGCGTTTATTTGTGCGTTTGTTTTAACCCAGGTGATCTGCGGAGGCGGCTTAGCCCTGTCAGGCTTTTGGAAACCAGAGTTCCTGTTTAAGCAGACCTTACTGTTAGTCAGCTGTGTTTTGGCTCAGACAGCTTCACCTGGTGTGCTAAGGACGGGACTGGGGTTGTCGCTCAGTGGTGGGATTCTTGTCCAGGGTGCACAAGGTCCTGGGTTCAAGGACTGTCAAAAGAGAACTAATGACAGGTTGACCACTTCATAGTGCAGATGCTTTATGTGTACATAAAGAGGCCTGGGGAATCGGAATCAAAGAGAGCAAGAAGTAGTTGAAGGTAGCTAAAAGCTCCTTGTTATTGGGCTGGGCAGTGGGTCTGTCGTGCGTCACCCAGAGAATGTGCTCAGATGTGCAAAATCAAGCACTTCCGCCAGCCGGGTGTGGTACAGTGCATGCCTAGCACGCAGGAGGCCTGGAGCTCGGCCCCCACCACCAGCAGAGAAGGTTTTTCCAGTTACGCGGAGTGAAAGCTAACAGGTGAGCGTGATGGTGCCCGAGCTGCTGGGGACAGTGACGCCCAACAGCGGGCCGGCTCCGCTAGGGGCTGCTTTCCTCCTCCTAACAGTGGCAAGCAGAAATAGTAGGGATCTGGATAGTCAGGGAGCGCCACAGGACAGCAGAGAGGGCACAGATTCTGCTCTCATGACGGCAGGACCCAGGAGGCAGCACTGAGCTGAGGCGGAATAAGAGACAGCCCCGCGGAGAGCAGTAGGCCCAGAAGAGGGGGCTTCCTGTCAGAGACCCGACTTGGTGGAGACCACAGCGGGTGAGCAGAGAAACAGGCAACCTGGCTCCCGAGGGCCTTCGGCCCAATGTCAAATACTGGAATTTCATCCTAAAGTGGAGAACCTTAGCTTGAGTGGAGGAGAGATGTAGTCTAGCTGATGCTTTTGAAGTGTTTGTTTGGCTTCCATTTGGAAAGCAGGACGGGGGGGATGCCTAGCAGGGGTACTGGTCATTGGCTTTCACTACAGTGGTGCAGTTGAGCTGCTGTGAGGGAAAAGACTTGCGTACAGCTGACAGGGGCCAGCTTTGGGTGTGGTCCCTTTCACAGCAACTCAGTGTTGGAATTTGACTACCAAACAGCAGTGGTGAAAGGCAGGGGATTTTTGTCTTTCTCAAGAGACTGGACTCTCTCCCAAGAACGGATTAGTGCTCGGAGAGCAGGTTATTACAGATCAGGTCAGCACCAGGGCCCCTCCTCCTCTTCCTCATGTCCTGCTTGCCCTTCTACTTTTCCACCATCTCATGAAGGAGCAGAAGATGTGGCCCCCTGATCTTGAACTTGTAACCTTCAGGTCCACAAGCCTAAGTAAAGCTCTTCTCTTTAGAAATGCCAGTCTCAAGTAGTCAGTTGCCAGGGTACAAAGGAAAAGGAGGTACCAGTGCTAAAATCCCAAGGGCTCTGACTTTAACATTGGGCTGAAGGTGATGACATTTTTCTAAGAGCAGGAAACACTGAAAGGAACAGTTAGAAAAGGAAATCAAGATTTTGGTCTTGGGTAGGAAAACTTGAAATTCAGTGACTCAGCCAAAATGAAGGTGTCAAGAGACACTTAAAAGTTTTAAAAATTGGACTAGAAAAAAAAAGGGGGAGATGAAGCTCGTGATGGCATTTGAACATTAGAATGGATAATTACCTGGCAAGAAAAGACCCACAGCTTTACTGGGGGGAATCTAACATCTCCAAGTTGGGTAAAAGGGTAGGAATAGATTTAAAAGGCATGGCAGATTTGGGAAAGAACAAAAACACCGAAAGATGGCTTTGTGTTCAACTATGTGGGCTACTGCCAAGGAACTGAGTGAGAAAACAAAAAAACGCATGCTTGTTTTGACAGCACAAATACAAAGATAAGGAAAACTGTCCTTGTGTTTTATGCCAACCTAGGGAGCAGTTCACCAAAGACTAAGGATAAACGTGCACCTGGGAACAGTCGTGCATTGGTGAGGGTGCATTTGTGGCCTGGCACACGTATGGCTCAGATCTGAAATGTCCCCCAAGTCTGATGTGCTCAGAAGAGGGACCCTGGGGGCTCTGATAATTGGACGGCGTTGCTGGGGAGCGATGGAAACGGGAACTGGGACCTAGCAGGAGCGTGGATCCCGAGGCTACGTATCTGATCCCCAGTCCCTTTCTGTCAGGCTCTTGTGCTGTCCGCTTCTGGCTCGCACGAATGAGCATCACATCCTCCCGTGATGGACCTATCTTACTGCGGGCCCACAAGCAAGCAAGCCAGTCCACCTTGGCCTGAAACCCTGCCCCTCGAGGCTGATACTTTCACATATTTTGTCACAGTGACTCAAAGCTGCCTGCCACAGTAAGGTGGAGGCAAGGGGGAGGTTTTAAAGGCAAAACAATTACTTAAACAATTTTGAAATAATAACCCCTGGCCACAGGATTAATAACAAGGGAGACAGCAGTCCAAGGGTGAGCAGTTACCAGGCAGATGTCCTTGCAAAAGTGTTTTCTGTGTGGCCATTGGCAGAGTCTTTGTGAGAGCTACTGTCAGTCATGCGTGAATACTCTTCCTTCATATGTTTTCTGTTACTGTGGTTAAGACTGACACAAGAGGCCCCATTTTGATTCTGGCAACTTTCACGTAATCTTTTATCAGACAGCTTAGTATGGGTATTTAATGTAAATTTACACTGTTCGTACTGATTTTTAAAGATAAACTACAA